AGACTAAGACGTGGTCTATTGTATGATGGTGGTTTAATTTCATTTCGATGTAAAAATCATATGAATTCATGCGAATCTTTGCATTGAAACCATATGTTTTTGCAGTGTTGTGTGGCCACAAATCCATGGATGCATTATTTTTATGGTGTTGCTGATAGTCTAAGATGTGCTCTACAGTATGATGGTGGTTTTATTTTGTTTCAATATAAAAATCATATGAATTCATGAGGCTCCGTTTAAAATCATCTAGATCCGACTTTTACCCAGACCTCTGATTTCACTCCCTTGATCATCAGGTTTTATGGTACCTTCCACACTGACCAGGGCTCTTTTTGTAAAAAAAAGCCCAGCAGGAACTCATTAGCATAATAGGTCACACCCAGCTACAGAAGCGCATTAGCATATTAGGCCACACCCCTGACAGCACAGCTCATTAGCATATTGGGCCATACCCCCATGTTACCAGAAGTGTGGTCACAGGTCTGCCCTCACAGAAGAGGGAGAGCTTGTACCTGAATAAACCTTGAAGGTGCCACTGGACTGTTTTGGATTGCTAGCTATGGGGGGGGGGACACGGAGATCTGCGCAGAAAGAAAAAAAGAGAGAGAGAGAAGAAAGGAAGGAAGGAATGGAGGGAAAGAAAGGGAAGGGAAGAAAAGAGGGAGAGAAGGAAATAAGGAGGGAAATAAGGAGGAAAAGTGAAAAGTAGTGGAGTTCCAGGCGTAGCAGAGTGAAATCAGCTCACATTTATTAATTACATCGTAGCGATCAAAGACAACTTAGCCGTCGCGAGAACACTGTTCTGGTGCATTCCGCCCCCAAAATAGCCCTGCATTACGACAAACTGTGGGAGCAATTCGTAATGGCTAAAATAGCAGACCAAAGCCGATGATCACTATCACTAAAGAATACCGTACACTCTAAATTCACACGGCTTTGGGCACCAGTGATAAACTAAGGGTTATTTCCCACAAGCGCTGATGGTACGTGTCAATTTCACACAAGCTGCTGCGAGGCCGCATTTAGCCTCGCAGCTTTGTGCGATTTTCCTTGCATCTACTCAGTCCTCAAAAAACAGGATTGCAAAATGCAGCAGCTTGTGTGAAATTGACACATACCATGGGGCAAAAGGGAGGAGTGAGCGCGGAGTAGCGCTCGTGGGAAATCACCCTACATGACAGCACTTGATGTACTTCCCACAAATCCTCTTTACCACAGGTGGCTATTCCTGTAACCAGTTTCCAACCACAGCAGCACTCAACAAAAAGACACTTCACCAACCTCATGGGTAATTAAGGGTTCGTTCTATAATGCTATTCACTCATAACTACACATTTAATTTAGAGGCTCGTCTTAGCATGTTCTGATAGGGTAACGTGACTTGTAACCTATTTTACAGATCTGATACGATCTTCTTGTATTGCGTTACATAGATTGTGTTGTGTATTCTGTACATTATATAAAAGAATAAATAAATTTTAAAAATAGCCTTGCCATACTCCATGCCACTTTCGAGTTCTTTGTTGGATTTTATTGTACCATCTGCATAGATTATGGTCCTTTTATGGCTCTTCAGGTGTGACTTTGCCGTCAGTAGGTGTTGCCCCGAGGTATTTGAATGTGGTTTTGAGCTCCACTTTTCCCTCCCAGCCGAGAAAATGTGAAGCAAATGCTAGATGCAGAAAATCCAGTTGGAAAGTGCACTGAAAGTGGATTATTTAGTGTGTGTGACCATAATCCCTGGCTTGGCGCCAGGCACTTAATGGGACTAGACCAGCTAGACAATTCAATAGGCAACACGGCAACTTATATACAATTCTGGCTGGGATAGCCACACCCACAATATTTACACTATCCAATCACACTAAGTACATTACACCCAATCATAATCAAGGAATAACGTCCAATCAAAACCATTCCCTCCAGAAGGCACACCATTGGTCAGTATTTACACTTTTACAATCTGCATAATGAGCGATGCGAGATATGCGTTTACCTTATATGTCTCTCAAGACATAACACTTTCAATATCAGTGTCCTGTCCAGGCCACCATACGTTCCACATGGCCAGTGCCTTCATTCGCATCGTACCATACCTGCATTTAGAGTTCTTAGTAAGACCCCTGTTTTTTGGAATGACCACCCTGTTTTCCCGTAACAGACAATCCTTATGAGTTGATAGTTCATAGGGATGGAATGCAAATGGCATGAATACTTCAGCCAATTTTTCTGTGGGCCAACCCTTCCATACCCAGTTGAGAACACATTCTAAAAGGGGAGGGGGTTGTTGTTGTTATTCTAGCAACTTGTGCAGCTTATAGAGGAGGTTCTGGCATGGATTCTAACATAAGGACTTCCATGGGTGGAGGAATGGCACCGTCAGGTATCTGCAGAGGTAGACAAATTAAAGCATCGACGTCTGCATTTATTTTGGCCTATTGGTGAGATTATAATTATAAGCATTTAGAATAATATTGTAATGTTGCACACAGGGAGATAAAATGGGAGGCGTTGGTTTGTCTTTGGTGAGATTTTAAAGAGGTAGCTTGTGGTCTGTTTGGATTTCAAAAGGATGCCCATGTATATAATTATGAATTTTTAAAATGTCTGCTGCAATACCTAATGTCCTTTTCTTAACCAGAGCATAGTTCCTTTTGTGATCTCATGGTGGTAATGAAATAAATTGCTGTACTCACGGGAGTTGCTGAGTGTAACATAACTTCTTTATTGCAACTAACTTCCAACTAAACACACGGAAACTGAAAGCAGGAAAGGGAGAGCAGTCTAGAGGGGTGGAGTTTTCCTCCAACCCACAATCAGGTTCCAGTTAACTTCTAACTTTCCATTTTACTACATCCTTCCCCCTTTAAGTTTATTTCTTCTTCTTCTTCTTCTTCTTCTTCTTCTTCTTCTTCTTCTTCTTCTTCTTCTTCTTCTTCTTCTTCTTCTTCTTCTTCTTCTTCTTCTTCTTCTTCCAAATATAGTCTTTCAAATAACCAGGAGGTCTTCTTGCTCTCACTGGATAGCACTGTGCTTCCGCTGCTTCATTATCCCTGATTCTGGAAAGACCAATTCCTTTGGAATCTTCCTGAATTGTGGTGGCCTGGAAAGGGGCATCAAATTACAGTGGGCTTCTGTCTCTAAAATGCCACAGGGTCTCTGGTCTCCCACATCCATAGACTGCAGATGTGGTCTTGATGTCGCCTGATGACCCGGCCATCAGGTAACCCAGTCTTAAAAGATAGAGGTCCCATCCAATGTTCCCTCTAAGCTGTGGAGTCCTGTGAGCAAAAAATTCTACCTTGTGAGCTACTGGCATTAAAGTTGTGAGCAGGTGATTTGGCTACTGCATAAATTAGTTTGTCCTGGAGCCATCCTTCCTGAGCTAAGACAAAAATGTGTGAGCTGGAGGCTAAGAAACTGTGAGCTAGTTCACACTAACTCAGCTTAGAGGGAACACTGGTCCCATCTGTGCTAGAATCCTACCTGGCATCCAGAGAGGTTGGGCGGTACTAAAACTCTTGGTAGAGACATGATCCTGTACTCCCAAGTCTCTATTCTTAGCATGGTTACCTTTTTGAAGAGTCTGTTTCCTTTGCAGTTCCTCTTCTATCTTGGGATACATTAAATCTGTGGTGGTCTGGGGGAGGGTGATTCTATATTTCAAGAGAAATTGAGCTAGCCTTGTCTCCAAAGTCCCATAAGTAATCTTTTTGACCCTTTCTATGGGGCATCTACGGAGCTGCGGTGGCTCAAGTGGTTAAGACGCTGAACTTCAGGCTGTGGAAGGTCAGTAGTTCAGCAGTTCAAGACCCGGATGCCGCAAGACGGGGTGAGCTCCCGTCTCTAGTTCCAGCTCCTGCCAACCTAGCCGTTCGAAAGCAAGAAATTGCAAGTAGATAAATAGGTACCACTTCGGTGGGAAGGTAACAGCGTTCCGTGCGCCGTGGTGTTTAGTCATGCCGGCCACATGACCACGGAAACGTCTTCGGACAGCGCTGGCTCTTTGGCTTTGAAACGGAGATGAGCACCGCAACCCTAGAGTCGGATTCGACTGGCTTTCGAGCAAGGGAACCTTTCCCTTTACCTTTTATGGGGCATCTACTATAATCAAGAACATCTTCCCCAAAAAGGGTCCTGCAAAATCTAGATGCCCTATCCAGATGTTCAGGGGTAGAGTCCAGAGGGCCATCCATCAGTAGATAAAGCTGGGTGTCATCCGCATACTGGTGACAACCCAGCCCAAACCTCCAGATAATCTGGGCAAGGGGGCGCATATAGATACTGAATAACACTGGGGAGAGAATCGATCCTTGTGGCACACCACATACAAGCAGGTGCCTCTGAGACAGGCCCCCCCCAGCGCTACCCTCTGTCCCCAATCTTGGAGAAAGGAGGCTAGCCATTGTAAGACTAGTCCTCGTATCCCCACATCGACGAAGCGGTGGGTCAGCAGCTTATGGTCAACTATACTGAACACTAGTGATAGATCAAAAAGAATCAGCAGCACCGATCCGCCTCGATCCAGATGTCTCAGGAGCTCATCCACTAAGGTGACCAACATCGTCTCCGTCCTATGAGCAGGGCAAAAGCCAGACTGGAAGGGATCGAGGATGTTAGTGTCTTCCAAGAAAGCCTGGAGCTGTGCCACCATCGCCGTCTCCGCTAATAGCAGAAGACATCTCTACACTGCTTCCGTAGATCTCACTTCAGCTTTTGATTCCATTGAGTGTTCAAGACTATGGACCAAACTTGCTTTTGAGGGAATTTCATTTTACCCTTTCTGCCAGGGTAAAAGTTGATGCATATGGTTCTCTTACGGACCCTATCCCGTTGAGAAAGGGTGTTAAATAAGGATGCCTTCTTGCTCCTTTCCTGTTTAATTTTTATATCAATGGTTTTGCCCAGGCCATGAATTCTTGGAAATTCTTTTCTCCCTCATTGATTGGTCGGGAAATTTCTGTACTATTGTATGCAGATAACATGGCAATTATGTCGTTTACTCAAATTGCTCTTAGGTAAAGGTAAAGGTTCCCTTGCTCGAAAGCCAGTTGAATCCAACTCTAGGGTTGCAGTGCTCATCTCCGTTTCAAAGCCGAAGAGCCAGCGCTGTCCAAAGACGTTTCCGTGGTCATGTGGCCGGCATGACTAAACACCAAGGCGCACGGAACGCTGTTACCTTCCCACCAAAGTGGCACCTATTTATCTACTTGCAATGTCTTGCTTTCGAACTGCTAGGTTGGCAGGAGCTGGAACTAGAGACGGGAGCTCACTCCGTTATGCGGCACACTCGAGTCTCGAACAGCTGAACTACTGACCTTCCACAGCCTGCAGTTCAGCGTCTCAACCACTTGAGCCACCACAGCTCCCAAATTGGTCTTAGGAGGATGTTAGTTAGTTTGGCAGACTATTGTGATAGAGAGGAATTAAGAATTAACCAGAAAAAAAACAAAAATTGTAGTCTTCAGCAATAAGATTCCTAAGCATAGACGGTCTGTTAATGCCCATGAAATAGAGCAATGCTCTTCCTTCAAATATTTAGGTACTAGAAATAATGCCCTTTGCGGAAATAAATACAACGGGATCTAGAAAGAGGCTCTGGGAGAGTGCTCTGGTTTTGGGCAAACAGTGTCAGTTTCCTGTGGCGACCTCAGCAGGGTTTAATGACAGAGTCCACTGTTTTCTCCAGAGGGACTGATCTCTGCTACCTGAAGAGCATTTGTATGTTTGAGTTATCTGTAGCCCTCACCTGGAGAGTGGTAACCATTGTTACCCATTCTCCTCTCCCCTATGAGGTATGTTATGCAACTGAAAATCCCAACTGCCTTGCGGGGGGGGGGAGTTTGAGGTGTGGAATGGACTGAAGTCCAATCAGCTTCCATATGCAAAAGACCAGGTTGTCGCAGCAGTTGTGGTGTGGGCGGGACCCGGGCTTTGCCTTCTGATTGGTGGCGATATATGCTGAGGAGCAGTGCCATCAGCCATACACTAAGGGAGTGCATTTTAGAATTAGAACCTTGGCACCCACTATTCAATTATATATAAGGACAGATTCTCACCAGCTCCAGCTCCCAAGAAGGCCAGATCACGTGTTGGACATGCAAAGCTGCCTTATACTGACTCAGAGCACTGGTCTAGCAAGATCAGTATTGCCCACTCAGATTGGCAGCACTTCTCCAGGGTCCCAGGCAAAGGTCTTTCACATCACCTCCTACCTGATCCTTTCAACTGGAGATTCTGGGCACTGAACCCATAGGAAAATACAAAATATAACAAAGTCCAGAATAGAAATTTCTCAAAGGAGTCTGGAATAGATATCAACACTTTTCCTAGGTATTGTTCAGTGTTTCGGACTTCTGGTCCTTCCTCAGGAACAAAAAGCCACTACAGGAAGTCTCATTGCAATTTCTTAACAGGCAAACTTTATTCAGTTTCTATATGGGCCAGGTCTCCTAAGCTTTAGAAAGCACCTACCAAGGTTGCTATTATGTAAGTTGGACCAAACATGTTTACACTTTCTATTCTGGACTTTGTTCTTTCCCTTTGGGATATTGTGGACTTTTGTATTTTCCTGTGATGGATTACATGTGTTGAATTTCCTTTGTGTTGAAGTTTCTTTATGTTAACTTTGGTGCGGGTTTGAGGCACATCTTAATGCCACACTACTAACTGTGCAATGTACTATGGGAGTTGTCTTAATTTTTTTTCTTTTCAAAAGGCAGTCAGTCTTTTAGGGCAAGGACATTGTGCAACTTTTGTACAGAGCAGAAATTTGGGGGTGGAACGAGAAAATACTTATGCAGTTAGAAACTATCCAGAATGTCTCTGTAAGGAAAATTCTGGGTCTCCCCCAGGGAACCTCCACACCGTTGTTGTTGTTGTTCAGTCACACAGTCAAGTCCGACTCTTCGCGACCCCATGGACCAGATCCCGCCAGGTCCTCCTGTCTTCCGCCGTCCTCTGAAGTTGGCTCAGTTTCATGTTCGTTGCATCGATGACACTGTCTAACCATCTCATCCTTTGCCGTCCCCGTCTTCTTTGACCTTCAGTCTTTCCCAGCATCAGGGTCTTCTCCACTGAGTGCTCCCTTCTCATTGGGTGGCCAAAGTATTTGAGCTTCAGCTTCATTATCTGGCCTTCCAGGGAACAGTCAGGGTTGCACCATACTATCCAGTGTTTTGCATGGAAGGTCACATTGTCAGGCTCCCAGTCAAACCACTCTCAACACGGACTTTCTTGAAGGAAAGTTTATTGAAGAGATTTGAGATGCTGAAGTGAACTCTTTGTTAGGACTAAAGAGCCAAAGCAAGGGGACCCAGGATATGGTCAAAGCCCACATTCCAGACATACGTCACCCACACAAGCGAAACTAACAACCATAAAAGATATCTTGGTTCAACTAGCCATTCAAAAGCCTTATCTTCTTCAAGGAGGACTCTCCTGTGAAAGTTCACTCCCTGGGGTGCTGTTTTGGGAAGAGTTACAGAGCGATGCATCTCTACTCCTACGACCAGACTCTCACACATTCACACTACCCCTCCCTGCAGGAATGTCATGTCAGCAAGGGCAAGTGATAAGCGACCGGGGATGGGAACCAGATGGGGAACCAAATGGGGTCAGTAAACAATAAGGGGAAGGAAGACAGGTAGTAAATATCACATGTACAGCCCGAGTCTGACACAGATGTATGACTATCTGCCCACTGGACAGAAGTCTTGGGTGTGTGCCTGGTGCAAGGAGCTCCTGGTTCTCAGGGAACGAGTTTGCTCCCTTGAGGCCAAGGTGGCTGACCTGGAGAAGCAGAGACAGTCAGTTAGGTGCATGGAGAAGACTCTCAGGGACTTGTTAAGATATGTCCCACTCTGGATCTGGCGGTTCCGCCACTGTCAGGGAGCATGAGGGTTGAGAGGGAACAGGGCACCGTGCTGCGGATAAGGGGAATGTGCCCTCAGAAGGGACCTCTTCTTCATCTGGTGAACGGGTATCCTTTCGCACCAAGCAACCATCCCTGGGCAGGGAGGGAGGGGGGCTCTTGGTAGTTGGTGATTCGATCCTTAGGTAGGTAGACAGTTGGGTGGCAAACCCGCGTGCTGACCATACGGTGACTTGCCAGCCTGGTGCAAAGGTAGCAGACATTACGCATGTGTTAGGTAGGGTGATAGACAGTGTTGGGGAGGAGCCAGTGGTCGTGGTACATGTGGGCACCAGCAGTGTGGGGAAATGCAGTCGTGAGGTCCTGGAGGAAGAATTTAGGCTGCTGGGCAGGAAACTCAAGCCCAGGACCTCCAAGGTAGGCTTCTCAGAAGTGCTACCTGTTCCACGTGCAGGGCCGGAGAGACAGGCACAGATCAGGAGTCTCAACGCGTGGATGAAACAATGGTGTAGGGGGAAAGTTTTCAAGTTTGTTAGGCACTGGTATGCTTTTTGGAACAAGAAGGAGTTGTACAAAAGACGGTCTCCACTTGTCCCAAGAAGGAACCAGGCTGCTGGCACTTAAAATCAAAAAGGTGGTAGAGCAGTTTTTAAACTGAATATTTGGGGAAGGCTGACAGGAGACAAAAAGTCTCTGGTTCGGGGTGGCTCATCTCAGAGAGATGAGGGGGTAGCTGTTGTTTTTCTACAGGGAAGGGGATTAGAATTGTCCACTGAGACTGTGACTAGCAATTGGACTGCCTGACAAGGTCTCGAAGCAGCAAGAGGAAGGTTCTGGGCTTAACATGTATGGGAAATTATAGGTGTTTATATACAAATAGGCATTGTGGGTATTTCAGAAACTTGGTGGGATGAGGAAAATCAGTGGGATACGGTGATTCCCAGTTATATATTATATCAGAAGGATAGGGAGGGAAGGGTTGGAGGCGGGGTGGCTCTGTATGTCAGAGAGGGTATACAGTCCAGTAAGACTGAGAGGGTAAGAGAATTGGATTAGCTTCTGGAAATGCTATGGGTTGAAATAGTGGGCCCAAAAGGAAGCTTAACACTGGGAGTTTATCGCCCACCAGATCAAAAGATAGAGGAGGATTATAAAATGATAAACTAATTAAAGATAGCGGATAGATGAAAAAACTTGTGTTGTAATAGGTGATTTCAACTACCCACACATTGATTGAGTCAATATATGTTCTAGTCAGGGAAAAGAGATTGAGTTTCTAAACATTCTCAATGACTGTGCTATGGAACAGATGGTCACAGAACCTACCAGGGGAGAGGCGATCCTGGATTTGGTCCTAAGTAATGCCCAAGACCTGGTGAGAGATGTAAAAGTGATTGCACTGCTTGGGAACAGTGACCATAATGTTATTGAGTTCAACATTTGTATAAATAGAGAGTTGCTCAAAAAGACCGACACAACCACTTTTAACTTTAAAAGGGGTAACTTCTCTGATATGAGGGGACGTGAGGAGGAAACTGGAAGGAAAAGGAGAAAGGGTCAGAACCGTTGGGGAAGCTTGGAGACTATTTAAAACTACAATCCTAGAAGCTCAGAAAAAATATATACCGCAAGTTAGGAAAGGCACGGTTAACAAACAAAGTAATGGAAGCTGTAAAAGGGAAGGAGGATTCCTTTAAGCGGGGGAAAGCTAGTCTCAGTGAGGTTGATAAAAGGGAACACAGGCTGTGGCAAATAAAATGTAAGTCTGTGATCAGGCAGGC